CGAGACAATGGAGCAAGATCGTCCGTCAAATGACATTTACTATTAGCACCGCGTGGAAGTCGGAAAATAAACACATCACACTCATAACTTGATATATAAAAAATGTTTTTTTTTTATACAAAGTAGTCTACCGGGCTAGACGTGTCTATTCCCTCCGGGATGCACTATTCAATTAACTATAACATGAGGAAGAAGGGAAAAAAAAACATAGAAAAATGATAATGCAAAGAATACAACCCTGGGAGCTTTCAATAGTATATAATCCTGAACAGTGGGAAGGTTGCATTAGAGATACAGAAAGGGTAGGAGGTGGAAGGCTGCAATTTGGTGAGTGTAATCATGCTTGAGTTTAGACGAGGTCTCTCTTGACAAACTCAGCCAGGAGAGTCTTTCCGAGGGAAGCAGGGCTTCGCTCGACAATGACGCCGGCATCTTGGAGAGCAGCAATCTTAGAGTCGGCGCCTCCCTTGCCTCCGCTGACAATAGCACCGGCGTGGCCCATTCGTCGGCCTGGAGGAGCACTGATACCAGCAATGAAGCTGACGGCAGGCTTGTTGGCCTTGTTCTCGCTCTTGAGGAAAGCGGCTGCATCTTCCTCGGCACTACCACCGATTTCACCGATCATGATGATTCCGTCGGTCTCCTCATCCTCAAGGAAGACGCGGAGGCAGTCAATGAAGTTGGTTCCAGAGAAGGGGTCACCGCCGATACCGACAACGAGAGATTGGCCAAGGCCGGCTTGGGTGGTCTGGTTGACGGCTTCGTAGGTGAGGGTACCGGATCGGGAAACGATACCGATACGGCCTCTCTTGTGGATGAAGCCGGGCATGATACCGATTTTGCATTGTCCCTACAGTGTGATCGTTAGTATATGATGTGCAACTCGGGATGTGATAAGGTATGCGTACGGGAGCGATTATTCCAGGGCAGTTAGGTCCAACGAGACGGGTCTTGTTCTGGGATTTTAGCATATCGGTGATGCGGACCATATCTACAGAAGATTAGCAGGGGATGCAGATAATTTTGTATTCATATAGGTCATACCATGCTGAGGAATTCCTTCAGTGATACTATGCAATATATTAGTTTCTTAAGGTTAAACTCTTGATAACAGCTATATTCAGGCAACATACCAGACGACGAGAGGTACCTCAGCGGCAATAGACTCCTCGATACTCTTAGCAGCCACGGATGGTCTTTGTCGATGCGTTAGCACCAAAACTCCAAGCTATACCAGCAAAGCAGACATGTACATACGGAACGAAGATGGCGGAAGCAGTGGCACCGGTCTCCTTGACGGCCTCTTCGACGCTCGCAAAGACGGGCTTGCCGAGGTGAGTCTCTCCGGCCTTCTTGGGGTTTGTGCCACCGACAACATTGGTTCCTATGCGGGCATTAACACTGTGTCTTTTCGCCTGTTGATAAGAGAGCAGTACCGTAGTCGATTGCTTGTTGGGCATGGAAGCTAAAGGTCATCGGAAAAAGCGACGGTCAGCCAGCTTTATACACCCCAGAGCGAGGAGAAATGAACTCAATTGCAACGTACGTTCCCTGCTTTCCGGTGAAGCCTTGGAAAATGACCTTGGTGTCTGCGTTGATGCGGAGGTTCTTTACTGTCGAGGCATAGCCTGTGAGGCCTGCGAATCCGCGTCGCTGGACACGGGAGGCATTCTGCAACGCAGAGAGCGTAGAGCGTCTGAAGGACTGCATATCTGAAGAATTGCAACAAGCAGCAGCCTGTATAAAAGCAGAAAAGAAGAAGAAATGCTGGGGAGCGAGGGCGCGCGGAAGCTGGAAGGGCTGAAGTCGAGATGCAGTGCAGAGAAGGACGAAGGAGAGAGTCGGAAGTCGTCGATGTTTTTTACAGTTTCAGTTTTCGCAGCGTGGCTCGTCCGGACCAAAAATCTTGACCCATGCAAGGAAGACACTCACAACCACCACCAACCACGACTACGACTATAACGATACCCACGAAAGCGACCACGAAACAGCGGTGGATAGAAGTGTAGAGGTCGCTGGCGCGTCTTTTTTTCTCTTTTGGAGTTCTTTTTTTTACCCGGCTTGTCTTGCCATTTTCCTGCTCTGACTGCACACCATGGCGACGAAGACGATGACCATGCCGAAGCACAAGCTTCCAAAGAATATCAAGCTACCGCCAGAGAACGAGCGATACATGAGGGCCTGCTCCGATATAGCAAATGCGCTGATCCAGGACTACGAAGCGCAGCGAGATAATAGCAAGTCGAAGAAAGATATCAATTTGAACAAGCTGCGGGGCACAATCGCAAAAAAGCATTATCTGAGCAATCTGCCGCCCTTGACAGCTATTATTGCTGCTGTTCCGGAGCATTATAAGAAGTATATACTTCCAAAACTGATTGCCAAACCGATAAGTGAGTGGCAAGCTTCTTTTACGTCTCTTATGTCTAGGTTATCAGCTAACATATTATTTTTCGCTATAAAGGAACCTCCTCTGGAATCGCTGTAGTTGCGGTTATGTGCAAGCCTCATCGATGTCCACACATTGCATACACAGGGAACATTTGCGTCTATTGTCCGGGTGGCCCAGATTCGGATTTTGAATATTCTACCCAATCTTATACTGGCTACGAACCAACTTCCATGAGAGCTATCCGAGCCCGATATGATCCTTTCGAGCAGGCGCGAGGTCGAGTTGACCAGATAAAATCACTGGGGCACAGTGTGGATAAAGTGGAATACATCATTATGGGTGGCACGTTCATGTCACTCCCTGAGGAGTACAGAGAGACATTTATATCACAGCTCCATAACGCACTTAGCGGTTACCAGACTGATAATGTGGACGAAGCTGTGCAGGCAGGAGAAATGAGCAATATTAAATGCGTTGGAATCACAATCGAGACACGACCGGACTACTGCCTTGACACCCATCTTAGCAGCATGCTTCGGTACGGCTGTACCCGTTTGGAAATTGGAGTACAGAGTCTCTACGAAGACGTGGCGCGAGACACAAATAGAGGGCACACTGTAGCTGCTGTGGCAGAAACGTTTAAACTATCGAAGGATGCCGGATTCAAAGTGGTCAGCCATATGATGCCTGATCTCCCAAATGTCGGAATGGAGAGAGACCTGTTCCAGTTCCAGGAGTACTTCGAGAACCCTGATTTCCGGACCGACGGCCTTAAGATATACCCAACCCTTGTTATTCGAGGAACGGGCCTTTATGAACTTTGGAGGACCGGCCGGTACAAGAACTATACCCCAAATGCTTTGATCGATATTGTGGCCAGAATCCTCGCCGTCGTTCCTCCATGGACCCGTATTTACCGTGTACAAAGAGATATTCCAATGCCACTCGTCACATCTGGCGTAGAGAATGGCAACCTACGTGAACTCGCTCTCAGCCGAATGAAAGACTTTGGCACCACCTGCCGTGACGTGCGTACCCGAGAAGTCGGCATCAATGAAGTAAAGAATAAAATCCGACCAAACCAGATAGAACTTGTTCGACGCGATTATACAGCAAACGGAGGATGGGAAACATTCCTTGCCTACGAGGACCCAAAACAAGATATCCTTATTGGCCTTCTCCGACTACGAAAGTGCAGTTCCAAGTACACCTTCCGGCCTGAGCTTACAGGCCAACCAACTAGTTTGGTACGAGAGTTACACGTTTATGGATCCGCAGTCCCTGTTCATGGCCGTGACCCCCGCAAGTTCCAGCATCGCGGATTTGGAACTTTGCTAATGGAAGAAGCTGAGCGTATTGCTCGGGAGGAGCATGGAAGTCGCAAGATCAGCGTTATTTCTGGCGTGGGTGTACGAAGCTACTATGCCAAACTAGGATACCACCTTGATGGAGTATATATGAGCAAGATGCTTGATCCTCCTGATGATACCGAGGATTTCGACTAGATCGCTGATAGGGTTTATTTCTGATGTCTATTGTATGCTTTACAGGTGTTGGTGGTTAAAAATGGATCCTGGGGATTTCTAGGCTTGGTTTTGGTGCAAGAAGGCTTACAATGATCAGGCGCATGTTTGCTAAAAGTTCGTTACCAGTTGCCTTTTGTTAAGAATTGATTGTTTTCATATTGAGTGCGAGACACTTATGTACGAAACCCCATCTTCTTCATTTCTTTTGCAATCTAGACTTATTGGCAGGACCTCCATATAGAATCTGTTTTATCCAAACTGTGGATAAGACCGGCTACAAGTTACGTATAGGATCAAATCTGGAGTATATCAAATAAAGAATCTATTATCAAAGCCAGGAGAATTATAACACCAAGAAAAGAAAATCGATTAGAGGAATCTAGATCGTACACAGCAAAATACATAGGATGGCTTTGATCTACTTGCAACGATTCCTCTCAGTAAGTGGAATATAGTTATTGCAGCTTGATCTTTCCCAACCTCCATTCCAAAACAACGTACCGTCTTAGCGATCCAAATGATACCGAATCAATAACTCATCTTTTCAAGGGAATAAAGAATATATGAAAAAAGTAGTGAACAGTCCCATTAAAGCTAGCCAGCCTTATGATATAAACGCAACATTGCTGATAATGAAAGGAATATAAATGAAAATGGATGTGGGTGTTGCGGAGGTTTTTTTCAATTCAACGATATGGCTCCCCGTTGGCTCGATCGCATATGTAGGAAGGCCTGGAAGCCGCAGAAGACGGCAAAGCACTAGAAAAAACAGCGAGTCAGTTCTATTATACCCGGGAGATGTTGTGATAAAAGGAAGGCTCTTCGGATATCAGGTTTCGGAAGCGCGGAGGCAAAGTCCAGTGCTGCGGGAGGGGTAAAAACGTACAGCATAGATGACAACAGCGGTGAATATTGAAGCTGCAACGGCTGCAGGGTGTTCTGTATCCTTCTTAGAGCCGGTCATAGAATGGTGGTTGGCCTGCGGCGAGAGTTTGATAATATGTTAGTCGAGCTGAAGCTGCGATGCGCGCAGGGTGAAAAAGGTCGGATACAACGCACTTTGAAGAGAGAACCGATGACGGAAAGGATGATGACTGCAAATATGGAGATGATGCAGCTATAGATTGAGAGAAAGAGTCCATAGTTAGCGGGTGAAGGCAACGATACTCTTGATGGGATAGGCAGCTCTTACCATGTCCATGCGTTCATAGCAGACACGACGGGCTTCATGGTGGCGGGAGAAGCGCGATGGCAGAGGCAGATACAGACAGCAGCAGGTAGCAGGAGATAGGATCTACAGCTTTCGCTTGGTCGCTGTGATGCAAGCTATGCTGAGGTCGGTGGTTGGAGGTGTTTACTGTGCTGCGAGGTTATTCGATGTTGCGTCAGTGATGGAAGTTTCGTGAGCCACAGCCAAGCGCTGCTCTCCAACTACGCAGCAAAGCCATTTTCTCTGTATACGAAGAACAACCAATAACTTCTAAGAGCAACAAACGCTCGCTAAGAGTTATTCATTGATATATGAAGCTACTCTGATATAAACTGAATGGCTACAGGTACCTACAGCTCTCCGTTTGGCCAGCGTTTAGCGTGTTCCACTCGATACACTGCTCGAAAGTGACGCCTGATCCTCCAAAGATATCCAGAGCACTCCCTATCGTGAGATCGACCTTTCCTTTGCTCTTCTCCTTCACCCGCTCAAGGTCTTCTATCCCTCGTCCTCCGCCAGCGTATGTGACCGGAATAGTGCACCATTCTGCAAGCCTGGACACCAGCTCCTGGTCAATACCCTGTTGTAACCCTTCTACATCCGCGGCATGGATCAGGAACTCAGAACAGTACGGCTCGAGCATGCTGATGGTCTCTAGAGTCCTCGGATAACACTGGTCAGAGCAGGCTTTGTCATACCTCGACCTCGGGAAGGAGGAAGAAGGCTTTTTTTATGTCGATCATACAACACGTACCCTGAGTTATCTCCATGTTGGTGACCGTCTGCCATTTGTCCATGGCCACAAACCAGGTATTCCCTCGCTTGCGGCAGCTAAGGTCCAAGACTAGTTTTGACGTGTCACCTCCTATAGCAGCCAGTATGGACTGCAGCCGGTCGATGGAGAATCGAGCGTCTGGGAAGAGATAAGACGTAACCACTAGCTAACCATCCGTTTAGATCACCGGCTTCTTTCCAAGGACCATCTAGCATCCTGAAAGCAAAGGCCATAGCTAACAAGAAAAGGGCCAGGATGCGTTTCATTGCTCACTTTTTCTGCGCCAGCATCTAACCAGTACTGCGCATTGTTGTCTGTAATCCCACCAGCAATGTGTAGGCCGTCTGGCCATGCCTTCAGAGCTTCGATAGCGGCGTCATCGTTTCCCGGCCCGAGTTTCACGACATGCCCGCCCGTTAGCCCGTTGTCTCTGTATAGCTTCGCAAAATAGCCAGCGGAGAGCTCGGAGACGAAGTTTGTCTTGAGCTCCCCAGGCTTGGTGCTAAGGGTTCCTCCCACTATCTGCTTGACCTGGCCCGCGTGAAGGTCAATACAAGGGCGAAACCGAGTCATATCGAGGGGATGGGGGGGCGGAGATGTGAAACGGCCTGTCTTAGATGTTTTGTCGCCTCTCCAAACACCCCGCGATGGTCTCCGTCTTTATAATTTGCTCGTCATTCAGGTAGCTAATAATAAACATAATAAGAATTGTATTTGATAATAATCTCTTATCGATGGCCTAGCTATCTATCACGTGATTTTTGAAAAAAGAAAAAACTGACGATAAGTTTCTGGATAAGCAAAAAAGAGACGTCAAGCAAAAAAGCGACATAGGACGTTTGATATCTCGTCTAGAGCAGCCACGAGGATTAATCATGCTAGGGAAGAGGAAGAGAGAGGTTACGGTGGCCTCGAGGAAGCGGGCTGTGGCCGTCAAGGACGAGTCTACACTCGATACAGCTGCCCAGGAACGTCTTCGGAAATATTTCGAATCCCGTTTCGAACCTCTGGAATTACCTAGCTCGAGATCAGGGGCCGTCTTGGATGGATCCAGTAATGCTTCTGATACAGATGACAGTGACCAGGGCGAGTGGGATGGCATTGAGGAAGAGGACAGTGGTGAAGACGAGGATAGCAACGGGCCAGAGCCAGAGGTAGTGGACTACAGCAAACCACTAAAGCTGCGAACGGAGCTTGTTGACAAGGCTGCTGTGAAGAAATTTATGGTGAGTGCGCTACTTTCCCCTTTTCCAATGATAGTCAGAAGCACTGGATTGACCCGTTGGACAGAGCTCAAAACCACCGTCTCTCCTCTCCGACTCTACCAAGCCGGCAACGACGGCGAAGACGAGAAAAGGTGGAGAAGAAGCTACCGATGACCTGACGACAGATGCTGCCAACCTCAAAAATGACCTAGCTCTGCAGCGGCTACTCAAAGAATCTCATCTCCTTGATTCTGCATCAGACCTCAACCCGACTGGTGTAAACAGGCACAAAGCCCTTGATCTTCGTGCACAAACCGCTGGCGCAAAGACGTCCATTTTCACGCAGAGAAACATGCCAATGTCCCACCGGAAAGGGATTTCCGCAAAGGCTACACAGAAAGAAGAGAGACGACGGCGTGAGGCGCAGGAAAACGGGATTATTCTGGAGCGTCCCTCGCTTGCAAAGTCTAAGCCCACTGCCAAAAAGCGAGAGCGCGGTATTGGCGGTCCGTCGGTTGGCAAGTTCGTTGGCGGAACTTTGAAACTCAGTCGTCGGGATGTTATGGCGATTCAAGGCCCAAAATCTAGCAAGAAGGCAGGCAGGGGATCTGGAAAGGGAAAGGGGAAACGCCGCTAGATCCAGAGGGAGAAGAGGGAACGAAAAAAAAGAATAAAGAGAGATGCTATCAGAGAGGACTCGCTCTCTAGCTTCTCTCCATTCTTTGCTTCTTTTTAGCATCCTGCATACTACTACACGGTGCAGGGTGAGCATATGGATGGAATTCCCTCCTTGGTCTTCGTATCCTTCAGCAAAGCAAGCAAAAAGGGAGCAAAGAGAACGGCGTGTGCGTTCGGTAAAATAAAGTATATTCTTCTCTCTCTCCAACTTCTTTGGCTTATCGATGTCTATCAAAACCGGACATGTCAACAAGATGGACGATATGCAGAACAGGGCAATGTTTCACACCAAGGCCCGTTGTGGAGGCCACGTTCTGACGCCGCAGGTAAACTTACCCTTCTTCCTTTTTTTTTCTTTTCTTTGACGGCTTCTCACTGCCTTCGATCCATCAATTCCGCTCTCCTCCACTACTAGGGCTGGGCTGACTATCCAGAAGCTATGACCCACACTAAATGCCACCCTTGTTAGGGGTGAAACTGTACCTGAAGCAGACCTCGGGTGCTCTCCTGCTCTCCCAGGATACCTCGAAACGTTAGGCAACCCCATATATACTGCCAAATGCAGTACAGTGCAGACCTGCGCACTGTGGTCGATAAAGTGAGATCAGATCATCAAATGTGGAATCAGATCAGACAAGCAGTTATTGGAGATCCTGCTTGGACCGGGTATAGAAATTATCCAGTTCCGTATTAGGCGGACGACATAAACGTCATCTCGGGTTTGAACTAGCGTCTCTCGAAGGTGGAGGTGAGAAATGCAACCATCCAGAAGAATGCCCCAGTAACTTGAGCAGATACTACTCATAACCCATAGCCTTAACCAACTCCCCGCAACTTCCTGCTCCCCCTGCATAACTGATATCATATACTCGCCTGTCAGTCAAGCCATTTTCAATCAACCGGTGGAGCTACACCGGCTGTCAGTTCGTTAGTGGCCAAACAGAAGCGCATGTACGACCTGTGACTCCGGCATTTCAACTTCCCCAGCCTAGCGAGAGAGACCTGGAGAAGACGAGCTCACGCGCATGCATTAACAAAAAGAAAAAAGGGAAGAAAGAAGACGGTCAACAGATGTCAGCCTCATCGAATGCATGTATGTACGATCATAGCTAGATATTTCTTTTCTCACGCCATTCCCGTTTCCGAAAAGTACCCCGATGCAGCCGGCCATGTCCAGCTAGCTAGAAGAGCGATCGCTCGTTCATCGAAGCCGACGAAACGGCCCGGGTTCGCCAAGCAGGCATCGCGATCAATATCAGGATGGATCATGAGTGCAGAGACAGCTCGGAAGAGCAGGACCAAAAAGTGTATTATTGGCCAGCCCAACATGTCGGTGTACAAAGAAGTAAACCGGGTTGGCTGGCTGGCTGGATGGGAGGAGGGAGGTGGCGGCTGGCCAGGCGATGGATGGTGACTTGCAAAAATGCTTAGGTTGAAGCTTGGAAGAGAGATCCTCGTGTTGACAGAGGGGAAAAAACGAGGAGAAGGAGGAGTAAGAGGTTCGTCCGCCATCTGCAGCTAAAGAACTAGTTGGCAGTGGTCGATCTGGGGAGGCGATTTGCCTAATCGGTCAACTGTATACGCCAGAATGCTATCCAGAAACAGCAAAGGGCCAGAATCTGAGCAAAGCTACGGTTTGAAGATGTTGCATCCTTCGAACTAACGAGTCGGTAAGTTCACCATCATGGTGATGGAGAATACGGAGTTTATCGAGATCAGAGTACATCCAACTTGTTGTTCAAACATATGCACGGGATGGATGCCGGGGGGTGGAGGTGGTTTGTCTAGCCCTCAGTACGGATACTCATCCTCACAACGAACTACAGGTTGACCATTCAGTAGGCTTCTTTGAACACATGCAAGAAATTTCACGAACGTCGCAATAGTCCATACTGAGGTGTGGAGAGGGCTGAAGAACACCCGAAGAACAAAATCGCTAGTAGGCTGGGCACACGTACGATGACCGTTTGGCCGATCACGAATTTGATCGATAAACTGGGAGCTCGTGTGCAAGTCCATGTCCATCATTGCCGGTATTTGGTCAAGGAAAAACGGTTGATACGATTCGCCTCTGGGTTCTTTGCTCTAGCTGTCCCCGGCTAGACTGCTTCTCTAGCCCCTTCAGTCGCTTACCCTGAGGCCTCTTCTTCTTCCACCTCTGAGTATCTCCGAGAGAATGCTCGGAGTTGGCTGCGTGTTTCAGGATTGCCGGTTCCAGAGCTCCTAACCATTTTTTTTGAACCTGGTTTACGACGTCGATGTGTTATGTCAGACAGCTTGTCAGCCAGCCAGCATCCAGTTGCAATAATAATGGAAGCACGGTGACTAATCAGATGAGATTACTTTTAGAGAGGTCGACAACGGCCCTGCCAATTCTCCAGGGCCAACGGTCTATTACGGTCCATAACGGTCTTCTGTGAGATCCCAGTCGTGTGATGGGTAAATGTGATCTCGAGCATGACATGCTTTCCCCTCCCTTTTTTTTTTTTTCGTTATCCCGGGTTCAGAAGCCACCAGCATGCAGGAATCATGTTTTCAGCAATTGACCTTGGAAGAACGGAGCATGAGCCAAAAGAACGAGTTAGCTCCCTTATGAGCCCCAGAATGGGGTGCAACGAACAAGATCGAAAAATTTTTCTTTGCTTCGATGGAATCATCGCGATCGGCTCTCTCCACCTTGTGGCGTTCCCGAGAACCAGAGCCAGAATTCTCTCCTCCAAGCCCATATTGCAAGGAGGACCCTGTCAGCAGCGTACGTGGTCAAGAGGAGAAGGGAACAAGAAATGGAGAAAAAGATAGAGGAGAACGATCTGTCCATTAGCTCACTAGCCTCGCTACCATGACGCCATGGTTGCGTGCCTGTTAGCTCTATCAAAATCATGGAACGCTTCCGTCATGGTCTAGCTTTATCCGCCCCTTTTTCGTTCCTGGTTCGGCATCATCGAGGCTGGAGAACGGAAATTGGATGCAATATGCACTCCGAGCGCCTCTCTCGCCATCGCTAGAGACGATACGGAGTATACTTAAATAAACAACCTTTTTTTCTGCGAGGAGAGCAGGCAGACCGAGCACAAGAACAAGAGGAAAAAGAAATAAGGGGGAGTGAAGCATAAGGTGGTAACCGTTGCCCGATCGAGCCGTAAGCGCTTGGGAAAAAGGATACACATGCATGGATCCACCACTTTGGCATCATATTTTTGAAGACGAGAAGAAGAAGAAAAAGCAAAAAGCGTGATATGGCAAAAGAAAGGAAAAGCAAAAGGGACGAGAGAGGCAGATGGTAGAATGCCGGCGCCAATAATCCGGTCGTTCATCATGGCGCCTGAAGATAAGGGAACTACTGTTCTAATTATGGACCGACGGTTTTTTTTAACGATCTTTCTTTCATGCATATGCGCACATCGTACCAGCGGCGTTCAATGATTGTCTTCGTGCCCTCAGGTGCCGGCCTCAGCAGAAGCAGTAGCAGCAGCAAGCAGCAAGCAGCAGAACAATGCTTATATATATATATATGGGAAGTGGCCAAATGCAATGGTCCTAAATATAGCCGTGCCCAGCAGAGGAATGAGGCATCGCAGTGTCCATCTGTATATTATTTGTATATACTTAGACCTGCAGGTGGATGTGTGTACCTCGCAGCCCAGCCCATCCTTGCCCGGCACATTATATGTCATACGGCCTTGAAACGAGAGGAGAAGCGTGAGTGGAGGAGGATCGCATCCCCGTCGCCCCCTGTACATCAAGTCTGCAGGTTGAACCTGAAACACCCAGGTCTTATATTAGGGGGTTCCACTGGCGTCAGTTTGAATGCCCACCCAGCGCACCGCCAGCCCAGCACGTCGCCATCGGCTCGCTATTGGGCAGAGGGGCCAGCAGAGTGACAGGCCAGTGGCAGTACTTTAGAGGCACATCCCTGGGATGCGCTTGTTCGAGGCCGCGAAGGGACATCCATCCATCTCTCTATCTCTCGACTCTCGCTGGCTGGCAATCGAGCCCTGTATCACCGATACGACCTTACCACCGCCTCAGGGGGGCAAACCGAGCAACTCCGAGCCTGTGCAGGCGTAAAACGCTGACAGTACAGGCGGTACGCACGGCTTGCTGGCTGCTGGTACTTCCTTCGCTGCGCTGGCGGCTGCAGAGAGCAGAAGTACCTCCCTTTCCGCCGTCTCTTTTTTTCTTGTCGCTGGTGTCTGTCGATACATCTTCTCGCTCCCTCCCAGGTCTTGCGATCTTATCTCTCTCTCTCTTTTCCTTTTCCTCCATTCATTAAACGGGCCCTCTCTCGCTCTGCCTACCAAATCAACCTCCCCCCCCCTTCCCCGTCCGTCCCCTTTATCCAACCGCCCTTGCGCCAGCCCGTTCTCTTACATATATCCTTAGTCCCTCTCCGCCTCCCTCTCTCTCTCTGCTCCTCATCTTGCCCTCTCTTCGTCTCCTCTCTCTGCCATCCTCGACCCGACTGCTTCCTTGGGCTGGCCCATCTCATATCCGCCGTCTCATCTCCCGTCTCATCATCCTCGAACGGCTCTCGTCCGCTTGCAAGGCTGAAGGCTGGGCCTTCTCTGCATCTCTCTGACTGCTGAAACTACTCCGGAACTTGAATCAAGCCCGGCATTCCCCCCCTCCCCTCCCCTTGAGTACGCTACATTACGCCGTGACAACGTTGGGCCATCTATCTATTCGCCTACGTTTCGCCTTTTGTCCATCATATTACTCCTAACTTGCTACCTTGATATTGTCTGCGACTGGTGTTTGATCAGGTTAGTTGGCCTCCAAACCGTTCTACCGACCGTTGAGCCAGGTCGAAACTGCCAGCGCTTAATGCTAACTCAAGGCTCTTCAGGTCAGGCACATCACCATGTATCCCCATGGCGCGCCCATGCCGCCTCCCCAGAAGCCGGAGACCTTCATGCTATCAAATGAAGCCCAGCAGAGTCTGCCACAGGATGTTCAGGTCGCTCTACAGCAGGTTGACAACCGTACGACTTTCCCTCCTTTTCTTTTCAGTCGGGTATTGGTTTGCGGCAAACTGGGCGCTAACTTCTCATGAACAGTCAAATACTTCCTCATCTCCGCCCCAGTAGACTGGACGCCAGATCAGCTCATCAGACGATTCTTGCTACCCACCGGCGATTACGTCTCATGTGTCCTATGGTATGTCATGATCACTCGCGGCAGCTGATTGCTGGTTGTTAACCCAGTAGGAA